GAAGTTTTATATTCCTAAATAATTAGAGTAGGGGGATAGTAGGTCTGAAAAAAGAAGGCTCCAGAGAGATTCTACCATTGCTATAAGGAATTAAGAGGCTTTCTTAGTCTTTCTCAACAACTGGCCCCTGTTTTCAGTGTACCTAAAGAAAATCCTAACCATCTCCCTACACAAAAATCTTTCAAAATTTTTGAGTTACTGTATTACATCCTTAGATATTTTGAAATTCATTTTTATCACTGAAGTGATATAATTATTCCTACAAAAATGGATTCACACTGCTCATTGCCTTACCATTAATTTTGTAGGGTTTTCTCTACACGAAAATTAAAAAAAAAAAAAGCCAGAATCTTTCTCGATTCTTTATCCATAGGGAAGAAGTGGTGATGGGTGCTATACTTTTCCACAAATACTTACTGTGTGCCTAGCGAAGTATTATCTCCAGTAGTCGAATTTTTGAGTACTTGCTTTATACCAGGCATTATACTAAATGTTTTGAATACAGTATTTCATTTTATCCTTACAATTGCCCTACATATGAAATACTTCCAGTTTATAGACAAAGAAACAGAGGCTTACGGAGTCAGAGCTATGCTCATAGTTATGTAGCTCAGAAGTAAATGAATCAAATTTTGAACCCAAGACATCTGACTTCAAAGGTCATACTTCTAACAATTCCACTCCATTTCTTCTCTATGGGCAGGCATTCCAAAGACAATCTAGGAAGTTTAAGAAAATAGAAAACTCAGTCTCTGGCCTGAAGTTCTCATATAGCATGCTGAGTGCGCATGCTTAGGAGGGGGCGTGTTGGGTCCATTTATGGCTAATGCCTAAAGAATGGAAAGGAAACATAAGCACCTCTCATCTGCCCCAAAGGATTGGAATGGGGAGGGGCTTTCCCTTTAATGAGATCAAGTCATCTTTGGAAGTCATTTTTAGCTCCAAACTTGCCTCCTCTGGCCATGCTCAACAGAGAGAACGGGGATATAGCTAAAGAATCAGGAGGCCATCTCCGAAGAGTGATTGAACTTGGATCTTTTCCTGATTAAGAACTTCTCATCCTATCTCTCAGACGCCAACATGCTTAGTCCTCTCTCTTGGCAAAATAAGTGTTTGTTTCTGAAATTAATTTCTCAAGTGTTAGTTTAACTACTGAAAGGAGAGTTTGCTCATTTCACCATTGTCCAGTTGTAGATTATGATCCCTGGAGTATATTTTATGGGCCCGTGCTCTCTCATGTGGAACTGGAGTGATGTTTTATGTAGAGAGACGTAAAGTTCAACCAAAGATGTGTCCATGCAGCAAACAATGATGGGGTGGGGAGGAAGACAACTGGACACAATTTAGAGCTGCCCCTTTATCAACGGCTGCTATGACGAATGGGGTAGATGCCATCAAAGGCCAGAGTGCCTCCTCTCTTCCAGAGGAAGGTACCTGAATTTCTCTTCTCTCCAAGGCCATTTAGGGAATCTGGGTCAGCCCTGTCATTTCAAACCACAGGTTTTCCATATTAGGACCTCTAAGAAAACAATGTTGATGAATTCTGTTTATCTTTCACACAACTCTACGGGAGGGGGAGGGAAAAAAAAGGTGAAATCTATTTCTTTTGTCTCTGCTTTTTGCTGTGAACAATAAGTAGCTAGAAAAGGAGCAAAAGAGAAAGACCTTATCATTGCTGAAGTTTTCTTGCCAACAAAAGCCCCCTGTTCTTGGGGTCATGCATAGGAAAGAGAAGGAACTTTTAATGGAGAGATGTCTTGGACACCCACCATAGTTTGTCAGTTGCAGATGCTAATGGAGCCAGGCTTGGCGACTGAAGGGGAAAATGGAATATGAAAGCAAAATGAAATATGCCTATGAGGCAAGCATGTCATTTCTAAATGAAGGTTTCATGCAAAGGAGTTGAGTCTTTTCACAGCTGAAAATGGAATCTTTAAATAAGATAAAATAGCAGGATGCTGTGGCTTGTTGCAGGTTCCGTAATGAAATACAGTTTTCCTAATACCGTGTGACCTGCATTTCTCCCTGTTTTATGGGTGCTGTTCCTTGACGTACAAACCCGTATTTTCTCAAGTCAGCATTTGATGATGGATGTCAAAATACAGGCCATGTATTATGCATATAGCATTACCGATTTAAGGTGTTTACTTGTCAAGTTGAAGAAATTCAAAAACGTCACATCACCAAATCTGCACAGCTGTCACTTGTAGTTTTTCATGCTTTTGAGTGAAACTTCTGATGGAAACAGTTTAGTTTTCCCCTTCACTATTCTGGGGAAGAAAACAGCTAGCATTTAAAATGCATGTTTTTGGTTATGTGGTTGGCTGAAAGATACACATTCCAAAGTTTGGAAAGATGGACATTATACTGTCACTCGACATTACTTACCCTGTGCACAGTATACCCACATAAAGAGTAAAATTAAGTGCAATCAGGGAACAAACGATAAATGATACTTTTCTTTCTGAAAGTATGGCATTCAATAGTATGAAATTTATACACAGGACAGCAGGAAATAGGGATACCCTTTTATATTGTGCTGGCATTTCATGCATTATGCACCTCGAAAACAACAGGCAATTACGGAGCACCTGTCATTTCAGTCCAGATAGACGGAGCTTCACATGAACTGTAAACCAGAATCAGCCCACCACTGCCACAATACTGGAGACCAAGTCAGGGATCTGGCCACACGGCCTATTTGGAAGAGACCTTGGAAACTTAGTAAGTGACTTTGTATCTGCAAATCTTTAATTCACTGGTAAGCCCACCTAGCCAATCCCCCAAGGACAAAGAAGGGAAACCAAAGGGAATGTGAACATCTGTCTGCCTGTCCTCTAAGGTTAGGAGCAAATTGGGTCTTACAGCCAGCACAGAGTTGATGGTAGCATTTGCCACAGGCACCCCTGGATAAAATTAATTTTTGCCAAATGAATATATGGGGTTAAATAAATGTCTCATGTTTATAGGTCTCTATGCACATGCTTAAAGAGGCATCCGCTCAGCCTCGAAGTCGTGGTTGGGCCAAGCTCATTTTAACATGTCCTTGGGATTTGGGTCTGAGAAGCCCAAATGGCAAAAGTCAGAAACCAAGTAGGTTACTAAACAATGTCCTGTGCCTGCATTTACTGTATGAGGTCTGTGTTTGGCACGTCGGGGAGTTCTGGGACCTGCGACAAACCAGGGGAGTGGTAGTCAGAATGAATTCCGCTGCAGAGGAAAAGAAAAAGAAAACTCTTCATTTGGGCTCACGCAAAAGGAAAAATATATACAGTTGACCCTTGAACAATGGAGAGTTGAGGGGCACCAGCCCCCACCCGCCCCATACAGTTGAAAATACATGCATAACTCGAGTCCCCAGAACTTAACTATTAAGAGCTTACTGGTGAGTGGAGCCCTACTGGTAAACATAGACAGTCAAGGAACCTACATTTGGTATGTTGTGTGTATTATATCCTATATTCTTACAATGAAGTAAGCTAGAGAGAAGAAAATGTTATTTAGAAAGTCATAAGGAAATTACATTTATAGGGATACATTATATTTATTAAAAAGAATTCACATATAAGTGGATCCACATAGCTCAATCCTGTGTTGTGGAAGAATCAATTACATACATATAAAACTCTGTGTGTGTGTGTGTGTGTGTGTGTGTGTGTACAAAACCAACGTATCCTGCCTCAGGATTTTTTTTTTTTTTTTGGGGTTCCTGCCTCAGGATTCTTTATGATAAAAAAATTATATGTATATATACATATAATTATATATAAAATATGCACATGATCTCATTATCATAGTATATATTATAATCTCATTTATATATACTGTATGTAAAGTCTCATGTAGTATGAAATACTGAAGTCAGTTGGTTTTGGCTCTAAGGTTAGCTAATTCAGTAACTCAATGATAGTTCTATTTTATTATTTATTTATTTATTTTGCAAGAGAGTGAGAGAGTAGGGGAGGGGCAGAGGGAGAGAGAGAGAATCCCAAGCAGACTCCATGCCCAGCTCAATGCAGGGCTCAGTCCCATGACACGGAGATCATGACCCGAGCTGAAAACAAGAGCCGATGCTCAACTGCTTGAGCCACCCAGACACTACCTCAAGGAGTTATTTCTGTCGTTAAGTCTTTCCATCATTCATTCAGCCAGTCTCATTAAGCTGGCTTTGTCTTCAGCTGATGCCCATCCCAGTTGCAAGATGGCTGCCATGGTTCCAGGCACCACAGGTACAACAGCAACGTCCAGTGAATTAAAAGAACATCTCTTAAGAGAATGTCTTCCTGCGTGTTCTTTTTAAGAGTAAGCAAACACTTCCTAAAAGCCCCCAAGCAAATTTCTTCCCACTTCCCTTTGACCAGAATCTGTCAAGATCTCTGACTTGAGTCACTCACTGGCGAGAGAATAATCGGTTAGTTTATGGTAATAGTCAGGATAGGTTAGGTTATGCTGTGATAACAACACCATGATCCCCAGTGTCTTCGAGCAACACAGATCACCTCTTTACTCACTCAGAATGCTTTGTGGTTTGGGTTGTTGTCCAGAGCTGCTGCCCAGTCTTCGTCTCCATAGTAACCCAAGTTCCCATGGTTGCCACAGTCTGGGACTGGGGGCAGAAAGTCAAATGTTTGTACCAGAAGCAATGGTATACACTGTTCTGTTCACTTATCATGGCCCAAAGCATTTCCTGTGTCACATGGAGGCACAGAGGTACAATCTTATCTGCCTGGAAGGTGAGGGGAACAAAAATCTGTGAGCAAGATCAGTAATTGGTGTAGAGACTCATTTTTAGGGAGCTATCAAGACAGGTTAGAATTATTTATAATGGCCTCCTACTTTGTACTTCACAAAAGCAACACACAAGAGTATATTCCGTGAGTGCGAATTGTTGATCTGTAAATAATGCATAAACTATTTTTATTGTATATGTATATTATTCATAGTATTCCCAAGCTTTCCATGCCGCTGACTTTTCTCCCTCTCTCTTTCTTTTCTACTAGGGTTCACACCTCCAGGAATGGACAGATCCTCTCCAGATAACAGCCCAGTGCACGGGATGTTACGTCAACCATCTATAACGACTGGGGTCAACATCCCCATCATTACTGAACTAGGTAGGAGTGAATCTCAGCTTTGGGCAGATTTTGTTGTCCTCTCTTCCAGCCACATAGGGTATGCGGGTGGCCTGTTTCTTAGCTCCTTCAGCATAGAGGGCTTTAGTAGGGTTTGTTTTGGGGGAGGTGGAGAGAGGTATGGGTAACAATATGACAATACCAAAAGGAAAACTGATCTATCTTTCCTCCGCGATGAATAGACAGTTTCCTTCATGCTGGTCACTGTTCTCAACGAAGCTTGAGATGATGGATTTGGGATTGGGGCATAAATTAGGGAAGGGGGAGGAAAGGAGGAAAGGCATAATCCATGGACTCTTTCTGGTGATTTTCATTGGAAGCACCCCAGACAGCTCCTGCAATCAGAGCCCTTCACTGAGGTACAAAGCCTCAGGTCTAAGCCAGACCCATTCTGAGAACTGGGTGGAAGCAATGGGCATTTAATCTATCCTAGCTGAACTTCTCAACTAAAGGCCATTGTCCGTGAATGCCACTCTGGCCTGAAATATCATGGAGCTTGGATGGCCATGATCACGGGCCAGTGGAATGCAACTTTTAATCCTGAAGTGGCATTCCCTCCTACCATCTGTGAATTTGCAAAGCTGCTGAGTGGTGCCTTCCCCCCACCAAGACTACTAACCACCTATGGCGCTGGGTCCCCTTACGTTACAATGTGTCCTCTGTTACTCCCTCACACTCTTCTTTTTCTGTACTTTCCTCCACTCCCTTTCCCCAACCCTTAAATGCTGTATCCAATTAGCTAAACCTGGCAAGTTGCCTTTGGTATCAGTCAATCAGGAAAAAAACAGTGGGACGCACATTCTAATGATAACCGAACTGGGTAAGAAGCACTGTTTTCCTTCACATCAGTATCTCCTTTTGTTCTGTTGTTGGTGTTTCCAACTCTCATCGGCTTGTTTTTTCTTTCATGGGCTGTAACAGAAAGACTACCCCATGGCACTGCTTTGACTGTGTTTTATTTGTGGCTCTGGTTGGAATCGACTGTCTTGTTCTGGCCTTCTTAATGATTTTTTTCCCCACACAGCATCAGTAAAGCTTTGATCACACCCATCTGACCTGGCAGCTGTTTCCAAAGCATCTTTGCTCTAATTCATTTTCTTTGGCCTGGGCCTTCCCCCACCCCTTCCATGTGTCCCCCTGCTCTCCCACCTTCTCCCTTATAGTCCTCTTCCAACAAGCTGTCAGTTTGACTGACATGTCTTCACAGCTCTCAGAGAAGTCAAAGGAGAAATATAAAAATTTTAAGATAAGAAACCTAAGACGGAGCCTTCCCTCCAGCTGTTTATTTTCCTTTATTCTGACTTTATTTGCCTTTTTTTTTTTCCCCCTATGAGGCCTTTTCTCAGAAGCTCTGGTCCTGAAGCCATAAAAGCAGTCAGTTCCTAGGGGACATTTCCTTACGAAAGCTAGATTTCAAGAAGGGTGCCAAGGACAAAGGGTTAGTGGCCACTGAGGCCCAGCCCTGCCCTGTGGCCCCTACCTGGCTGGTCCATAACCTCCCAGAGATTCAGAGTGGACTCACCAGGAAGATGAAGGGTCCTGGTCATGACTACATCTGTCAGGCCCTTCACGATTCCCTGTGACTTGGTTAATAACTCTGTAAAAGGCGCCCATCAGCAGCAGGTCTCAGAACTGGGGATTGATCTTCTAAATAGAGACAGTGGAAGTGCTGTTCTGTAGAGGGGTAGATGGGGAGGTGGGGAGCACCTGCCTTCCAATGACTCACAGATGAAATGAACATGCCATTCTCTTGGCCCCCAAATATATTTCAAAATAAGAGAGCAGGCTTTTAACACAGTCATCTTGCTTGTGAGGTGTCTGGAAACTAAGGAATAAATTGTCCGCCATTCAGCACTGCATTATTGTAGACGGAGCTATTTATCAGGACAAATTCACTCAGGTCAAGGAGTGTCGCACTATTTTCTGTTTCCAGCAGCAGGAGAGGTATCTTTTTCATGTTTAGAGAAGTTGGCTAAAAGCCTAGGTTTCTGGATTGCTCTTCTCAGGACCTAAGAGTTGTGAGAGGCCAGGGAGCTCGTGCAGCCCAGACCGCTGGTTGGAAAATTCATCCAGATATCTCCTTCTCAGAAACCTGCAGCTGCATTTCAAAATCACGACTGCCAGGGATTTCTTTTTCTGTTTTGAGTTCGTGTGCTACCAACTAACTAGGATATCTCGATTTGTGATTAGGAGAAGAGAAAAGAGAAGGCTTGGGGCCCCAAATCTGAGGCAACAATGCAGGCATTCAGTTAGCATAACTGACTCTCCCATAGCCTTCATCCCTCCCCAGATTTCTTCTCTGAGTTCAGAAAACCTTCCCTGTGTTCACACCGCCCTTACCGCCTGCACTAAGCTCTATTTTCCTGGTGGTCATACCACCTTTAGCAAGCATACCATCATTGTCTGACCACCTCACTTCCCCATACCCCACCAATATTTACTATTTACCTACATGTTCTGAATGTGGTCTGCATCACACCAAACCAGTCAAATGCCTTTTAAAAAGCATAGAGGGAAGCCAGGTTTTTAAAAACTGTGTAGTATATTCTAGTCTTCATCCACCTGGAGAGTTTCAGTAGATGATAGTGGGCCAGAAGCTTCTAGACGTTCCACAAGAAGGACATTTGTTAAAGCTACTTAACCTGGTTTCCAGTCCTCTATGACCATAAAACATTTTGGGTGGCGGGGGGGGGGTAGTTTTAAAAATCACCTGTTAGCACCACATAATTACTGTTCTGTGAAGTAGGCTTTGGGTAACACTGATTTCCCTCTGAGACGCTCCCAGAACTAGGCCCAGGATTTTCATGGAATCCTGGTTCCTGCATCCCAGTGACCGAGATACCTGGCTCGCTGACAATCTAGTCACCTCTCCCTTCCAGTGACCACTTCCCCTCCAAGTACACTACCAGCCCTTCCACATGCTCTTGAAAAGAGAGAACAGACCCTACCTCTTTCAGAGTGTCGATACACACACCATCCTTGGCTGTCCCAAGTAATTAAAACCATGCTCCTCTGCATATTGTCCAGAGTTTACATTTTCTGATTCACCAAGTGGTAAATGGAGGGAGGAGAGGAAAAGCTACCATTTGACTCTATAGGATCCCTGAGCAAGGCCTTACTTGCTTCTGAGAGAGGCGGAGGGAAGCTGGGAATTTTCCAAACATAGTAGAGTAGACAGAGCATTTAATCAGAAAGGCAATCTTGAGATAAACTAATGCTTATCAAGGTCCTGGGCCAGGCTCACCAAGTACAATCTCCTAGGAGCCTCCTGACAGTCTCATGAGTGCTGCTAGTATTTCTCCCACTTTACAGAGAGAGAAAACTAAGGTCCAGAATGATAAAATGCATCACTTGTACAGAGTCAGTACAGAGGCTGGATTTAAAGCTTACTTGTCTGATCCTGCATTTTGTACTTTTACCCACCAGCCTGTAATTCAAGTGTTGCTGAGCAAAGATGTTCCCCCATTAAAATTTTTCTCTAGGGAAACAAGATGGTGTCGTTTAAAACTAATTCCATGCCTAGCCTGATATCCTATTATCATTTATTCTGCCTTATACAATAAACAAGCAAAGGTTGAAAAAAAAAAAACCAAACTTATCCAAAAAGTTATGCTCAGGAAATAAAAAATTAAAACAATAACTCTAGGAAAGAGAATTCACTACTGATACATTTAGAAAGGAATCAGAAGAAGGAAACCTCATCCGTTCTTTTCCTAAAAGTGCCATAATTATCCAGAAATCACAAGTGCTCATCTCCTCCCCCACCACACACTTTCTTCCCTATTACTTGCTCTGCAAAACTGATAATTTCTGAAGCCAAGATGGGAATGGAAATTAATTTGTCATTTAATTTTTAATAAGTTAAAGACATCTAGTGACACAGCCAATCAGTCTGCACGTGCCTGCTGGAGGAGTCCTTGAGGAATCCTCAGATGGAAATGAACTACAGCATCAAATGCTGCTTCTCCTAGAGCTGCAGCATCTAAAAGATTGAACTGTGTAGAAGGGGAAAGGGAGAACGTGGGCGTCCCCATGCAGCTCGGAATGCACAGCAAGTCCTTGTCAGCAAGCAGCCAGAGACAGCCAGGGATCCGTCCCAGCTGGAGTCACTGTTCTGTCCAACAGGGCCTGTCGGCGTGGGCCTGGATTCAGGGCTAGGGACACCTGACCCTCCCTGGGCCAACCCCGGGCAGGCTGTAGGTCCTGCCTGCAGGTGAATTCCTTGCTTTTTGCCTTTGCTGTGCTCCTAGTCTACTGCTCTTTGGTCTCGATAAGTTGCTTTCTTTTCCTGTGGCTAAACTTAGCATCCCAGCATGGCTACTCATGGCTACTCATCCTTGAAATACATCCATCTCTCAAAGGACCTGGTGACCAAAAAACACCTCAGGGTGTTTTTCGGTCACGATTCTAAAACTATACCAAAGGACTGACCAGCACTGTTCAGCCATTCTCCGGTGGTCTGCTGTGGAGCAAGGCTGCTTGAACTCACTGGCTCTCCAGGCCTGGGAAGTTTGAACAATCACATAGGAGCAGTCCATTGAGTCCACCGGCTCCCACCCCAAGATTCATCGACAGCTTCTCCCATGCTTTTCTCTCCTTTCCAGTGACTTCAGTGTTGTTAAATCAGTAGCCTGCTCTTTTCCTGGCTTCAGTGTGTGTGTGTGTGTGTGTGTGTGTGTGTGTGTGGTCTTTTGAGCTAATTCTCATTTCACACTTTTTCTAGTGAACGATACTAACGTTCAGTTTTTGGACCAAGACGATGATGATGACCCCGACACAGAACTGTACCTCACGCAGCCGTTTGCATGTGGGACAGCATTTGCAGTCAGCGTCCTGGACTCGCTCATGAGTGCGGTGAGTGGGTGTGGGATATGGGAGAGGATCACCTCCAGCCTCCAATGTCAACAGCCTGGGACTAGAGCTGGAGCTCCAGGGGAGAGCATGACCACACAAAGTGATGGTGATCTAGAAGGGCATACCAACATTTGCTAGACCATTGTAGAGATAAACGTTTGATTATGAATTCTTGGAAGTGTGAGGAAGATAAGAAGGGAGATTTTGTGGGGAAGAGAACACCCCCCCCCACCCACAGAAGGAAAGCAAATGCAAAGTCCTAGTGGTGAAGGAAGCTGACAATTTAAGGAAGCCAAAGAAAGCCTTTGTAGCTGGGCCACAGTGAGAGAGGGAGAGGAGAGGATGAGGCAAGTTTGGACCTATAAGACCAAGAAACCCATTTTCATGGCTTTGGCTTTTTTCTTAAGATCAATGAGGAGGCCCTGAAAGATGATTTTAAGCTGGCAAGTCAGTGTGATCAGGTTTATGTTTTAAGAGGATTGTCTTGGCTGGTGTGTGGAGGATGGCTCTGGAGGCAAGATGGCGGCAGGAAATCGGAATATGGGACTATCAAAGTTTGGATGAGGATAGAGCTGGCAGAGCTGGAGGGAGATGGGTACTCGAGTGGTTTTGGTCAGGAAGATTGACAGGGCTTGAGGATAGGTTGAATATGGGCAGAGGATGGAACAGGATGAAGTGTCAAGGGTGACTCCTAGGTCATTGCTGGTCATTGAGATGCAAGCCCTGGGAGAGGACGATGCATGAGAGTCAGGCCTGGCCAGTTCCCTGCTGCAGGGAAGGAATGAAGTAGTAGCAAATACAGGAGGGTAGGCTGGCTGAGGGATCAAAAGCATCACTGGCTTCTTTTATAAATTGATATGCACCAAATAAGGCATTGTTTTTTCACTTTTGAGACCAAAAACAACTAACAATTAAAAAGTAGGCTCCAGTTTGTGGAGCTCTCTTGAACTGCAAAAGGCAAAAGCAGACACTAGGATGGGTTATAAGTGGGGATTGTGAAGTGTTCCCACTGAGTGTCTTGATTTATTATAGAGAAAAGCCTCTTTATTTTGGAATTCTCAAATTCGCAATTTATGAAAATACAGACATAAGCTGGATAAAAACGGACCTTTGAGGAATCCATGAAAAAGAGTTTTATTGAACACATTAAAACCATAAACATAGCTCAGAGAGTTTTTATACACATACATTTCTTAAAGTGCTTAAGAAGGCATTCTCCTGAATGTGTTAAACAACCGATATGCTAATTATGCATTATTCTTCTCTATTCATTAAAGCTAATCCCAGAAGAACCTCTATTTGAGGAAAGAAAAAAAACATAAAGCTTTTTAAGACTAATTTAGGTTATTCTATATTCCTGAATGTGGTCCAACTGCAAGCATATCTTATTTTAAAAATTAGAATTATAGATCTAGAAATAATTATGAAACAATATTCATCTGAATTAAGGCTAACTAGGCATCATGCCAGACCTTCGCTTTCCAAAGCCAAGAAGGAGAGAAAAAGGATCAGTAGAGAAGGCACTCTTAGTTTCCCAGGACTTGTGATTTCTTTCTGATGGCCCAGTGGTTCTGGGCCTAACCTCTCTATCTGCTAGTGATGTTGGGCTCAGTCTGGGCAAACTCCTTAAGCAAGCCAGAAGGAATGATGAAAGCTACAAGGTGATCTCATACAGTGCCAGATTCTCTGTACTGGTCTTCTGTTTCAAATGGATTTCTGTAATTCGTCTCTTTAGAAATTTCATTTTACTCCTGATCCTAATGCGAGAGATTACAGAAGACTGGTCTCACTAAAAGATGATTGAATTATATACAGTAGCTTTTTTTTTCAAGAGCTCCAAAATGCTCTATTAACATTTTATAAAACCCAAACTTACACAGTTATGTTTCTGTGTATCAGACATGCAGGATAGTCCACGCAGCCATATAATCTGCAAAGCCACTCTTTCATACATTATTAAGAATTTCAAAATGATGACTGCAGAGCCAAGTGAGGGGCCCTTCTGCGCATGGCCCATGGGTGACTGTGCAGACCACACCCATGTAGCCAGCCCCTCATACCAGTAAGCCCATAAAATGGATTTTAAGCAGCGAAGAACTTCACCCCTACACAACCAAAGGGGCACTGAGCGGCCATGGGGTGCAGGGGGGTGGGGTGCAGCTCTGATCTAGGCAGTTATTGTGCTCTTGTCTATAGCACCACCGGGGTGTCAGTTTTTGGAAACTCAGATGAGAAATCAAAGTGGGTGGGTCTGAAATGTTTAAAAAGCCATCTCTAATCTTTGAAATGCAAACAAGAGTGTCTGGGAGAGAGCGGCGAAGGCAGGTATGGACACCACGGGGCTGCCCACAGCATTCCTTCTGAACTCCAGCCTGGGAGAGAAAAGTATCAGGAATCTAGTATCGGCCATTGCCGTCACCGTCGGCTTCATTCATGGAGGGCCCAGAACTGCGCAAGGCACTTCAGCCACAGTGTCTGATCTTTCAGACAATAATGCGAATCAAGCTGAAACAAGACGTGTTTAACTGATGTACAGACAGTGACCATTAGTCAAAACGCCCATCCAATGGGTCCATGCCTGGTTTTCCTTGTCTGGAGGAACAAGTTCCACAGCGACGTCTTGACTGGGCCTGGTTCAGCAGACCTCGTTGAATCCCGGCCTCCTGATGGAAACGTTACCTGTGGTTTCTGTGCATTCCGCCCCAACCCTAATTTCTGAAAAACCAGGAGATCAGTCAAGAGCCAAGGCAGTAACTAGAAGGAACTGAAAACGTTGGCAGGGTTGTAAACTGATAAACTGAGACTCCTCCAAGCAGCGGGAGCCGGAGGTAAGCTTCCAGCCCAGGCATCCGCTTACAAGCAACGCTGCGACGTCCGCACAGGCACACCTCCTTGGATGTCCATGATCTCTTTTCTCCAGCCCCTAAATCGCCACTTAATCATGTGTCTAAACATCCTTTGAAGGTTGTCCTCCATAACTCAACTCCTGCCGCTCACTGCTTCATTGGTTAAAAGAATAATATTTTGGTTCATCACAGGCGTCCCTGAGCAGCCAGCGATGCTGCAGACATGGCCTCGTGGCTCATCAATGGCAGGAACACATGATCGGAGGGAATAATTATACTTGTGGGTATCTGCCTCCAGGAAGAGGCTTACGACTAAGCCATGTATTTTTCAGAGTGGTACCAGCTTGCTGCTCACACACACACGGAGAAGATGAAAGGAAGCCTCTCTGGATTTAGAGCTGGAACCAGAGCTCAAGTGTTCAGACTTCTTTGCGACTGACACCACCTCCCTGCCCCACCCCGCAGCCCCAATTTGAGCTCTACCTGGACAGAAGAAAAGTCATGAACCAAGACTAGCCTGCCTGGATGCAGATCCCAGCACTGGCATTTAGTGGCAGCATAAACATCATCTCTCTGTGCCTCAGTTTTATCATCTTTAAAATGGGGATAATAATAGCACCTACCTCATAGAATTGTAGAGATAATTAAATGAGTTAAGGCTGTAAAGTGATTACTGCCATGTGTCGCACACGACTATCTGGATATTGTATGAATTATTATTGATCACTGCCTTTACTGAGCACTTAACTAAATGCCAGGCACTATTCAGATCCTGGGATTTAGCAGTGGAGAAGAAAGAGGAAGACCCCGCTCTCAGATCGTTGGAACTTTCATTCTAGTGGGCAATAATTATGTAAATGATTATGTAAATCAGGAATGATAGCTACCATTGGTAGTAGTAAATGAATAATATCAGATGGGCAAAACTGTTCTGAAGAATGTGAAATCATTTGAATGGGTGTGGAGACCTGGGTAGCCGCAGTGGTCAGAGAAAAGTTGTCTCAACTGAAAACCTGGAAGCTGACACTGAAAGGTCAGAAGAGAGTACCTGGGGGCCAGCGTGATGAGCATTCCAAGGCCAAAAGATTGGGACAAAGCTGAACAATGGTGCTGAGCTGACTCTGGGGCTCAGAGGGAGTTGTTGAAGGCTGCTGTGCTTGGAACACAGTAGATACAGGGGAGGGACAAGCAAGGAGCAGTCAGACAGGCAGAGCTATCGTTCACACCGTGAGTGTTCTGAGAACAAAAGACCACGTCCCGGGCAAGTTCTAAGTCAGGGTTCAACTCTTCAGTCATCTTTGTTTGGATACCGCCAGGATCCTCCTGAGGTCACTGCTTCCTGTGTGTGCTGGCTGGAAGGGCAAACCCGTCAACAAGTTGACTCCTGAAGTAACCCCCAATTATTTTCCTGCCCCACACTCCATCCTTGTGCACTCATTCTGAGAAAGGAAGAGAAACAGCACAATATACTGGCATGAGGACCTGGATTGATATCTGGTTTCTAAGGAATCCTCTCTCATAGAAGTCCCAAAATGGCACATTGCAGACAAATTCTGCATTTCCTGAAGTTTTTGCCTTTTAAGTGCAATTTGTTGCCAATATTTTAAAATCATAAGATTACACTGAAATATGGATTTCCAGCTTATTTTGATTGGAGTCACAAAGCGGATTTCCAGATACCCACAAAGCACCAATTGGCTAGAGCTGAGCTATGTGTCCTTTCACTACAGCCCACACTGTTCCCTGCTGAACTCTCCCAGGCCTGCTTCACTCAGCCCACTGACCCCGCCTGTGCCTCCCACAGAACCGGACTTATAGGCCTCTGGCTTCTAATTTTGTAAGCCTGAATGACTGTGGTTAGACAGCATCCTTGGGCTTCCGGCCCTGTGCCTGTCCTTGGAGTTAGGAGGATGAGCACATGACGTCCATTTTCTTTGAACCCTCACCTTTTTTGGGACCCCCCTCCCCCAGTGAATCACCCAGGAGTCCAAGGAAAACTTCAGTATGAGCATTTTGGGCCAGGCGTGTCTTTGTTTTGCCCAGTTCACCAATACCCAGGGTGGGTATTTGCATGTTTAATGAATTAGTATAAAAAAGGCAAGGACTTACAGGAGAAACAGTGTGGCACTGGCCCAGGAATTCGGACGTACAGGT